GTGGCTTGAAGCGCAGCAAGGGCAGATTTCCTATCAATTGTAGGGGGCTCAGCATTGTAGGAACAAGGTCGCCCTGGCCGCACTCCAACACGCGCCGCGTCACACGGCGAACAAAACATTCGTATACCCTTGACTCTTGCGCAGGCAAGATTTTTCACTGGAAAGCAAGAGAAGAAAAGTTATTCAGGCAGCAGCGGACTGGGAACTACGCTCTGAACTGTTGAGTGTTCTTGAAGTTCCTCTGATGGGAACCATCCGGATACAGATGACTGGACTGATATCGGAAATCGATATGGCGGTAAATTTGTATGACATACCGTGTCGGTGAATTTGTATGACATACCGTATCATGCCCGTTATCCTGAACTTATAGTTTAGGAAAACTGATTGAAAAGTGATTGACTGGCTGCACCCATAATATCAGGATTCACCCTGATATTATGGGTGCAGGCAGTCAATCACAATTCTTTCCTCGTTATTCCACCGCTCCTTTTCGTGCGGGAAAGGGGATAGGCGATGAACGGTAAGGGAAGCAAATGGTTGACCATCTCCACCCAAAGTATCACCGTACATTGTACCTTTCAATATTTTCAGAATGTCACCCCCGACAGACTAGAAGTGAGCAACTGTGTTGCTCGTATTCGCGATCTCCGCCTGAATCTTCACGGTAGCGTTGTTGCTAACGTGCTTCAATTGTTCAGAGCGAGCTTCGTGAAGGGTATACGGAGGAAGCTTGAAGAGGTAGATTTAAGTCGTAGTAAAAGTACTTGCTCGCATGACACCTGTCAGGAAGGGCAATCAAGCAAAGGTAAACGAAAGTCATACTGGCAAGCACAGGAAATCGAAACATGCGATTTACAACTGTAACTACCATTGCCCTGGAACTTTGTTGCAGACACGTTGAGGCGGGGGGATACCTATTGGTTAGCAAAGATTGAAGCTCCTTCCTTGCGTGTGTGTCGTGCCTGCGATTGGTGGTAGCCAACAACACAACAATCACAGGCGCGCCATTCACGCTCACTTACAAGTTCCAAACATAGCAACTAAATTAAGTGAGAATGCTGTTTGGAGAGAAAGTTAACCTTCTTCTTCAGGATTACTGCACGCTCATGGAAAAGTTCTGGATGACCTGGGTAAGAGGTCAATTGTCACAATTCTCGTCGAATCTGACACTCAATCGAGCTAATCCCGAAGTGTGTAGCGTTTTTTTCTGCATTTATCACACATTACCTTCTTTTTTAACCGCATTTTACTAAGGTTGTCCTCACACAGTCGCTCGAAGCGGTTGTATTGTCCCGAAAACACATCGACTTGGAAATGCGTAGCGATTTGATTTGGAATGGTGATCTTATGAACAGCGAAGACGTATCCCTGATTGACAATGGTGAGTACAGTAGTTTTTGTTGCAGACACTGGGCGTTTCAAGAAGGGGGCTGGGGTTTGGTGCAGCGCCA